ATCCGACCCCCGCGGGACTTCGCGACGACAGTTCGACTCCGAAGAAAAACCTCGGCCAAGAAACGAGAGGCTCCCGTTCCGTCCGGGAGACTCAACCCTTACGGCCAAAAATCCTCGGCCACGCCCCGCCTAGAACTCTGATCGGCGACCCCGTACGGGAAGCTGCGAGGGGGCGTGAGGTTGCGTATCACAAGTATTCTTCTGCAAGCGGCCGACCCCCTAGCCTTCCCCCAAAAAGCTCCAGGCCTTTTCGGCACACACGCTGGGAAAGCCCCTGAACAGATGGGCCTGTGGGTACCAGAAAAATATTCACGGACCGTTCGGTGTGGCCTGGCCCCTACTTTGGGCCTCGCTCCACTACTCTGGACTCCCATGAGTATGAGGCAGGGGACCTCACAATTCAACCCGGAGTTATCCCGGCAGCATCAGCCGGTTTCGCTTACAGCCCTTTGGCTCAGAGCCATGATGAACACAAGGAAGGGCCAGAGTACCTTCTCTGAGAAGCAGACAGAAAACTACGAATGCCTCTATACCGTCAGGTGAACTATGCTACCTGTCACTTCTACCCTTTTATACCCAGATTGAACAATCCCTCTTATAACTACTTACTCAAACTAACAAAAAAAAAGGACAGCCCCCAAGACCCCGACGGTTTAAAAAACATCTGTCTAGGAATAGCAAGCAGCTACTCAGAGAAAGACAACCAACCATGACTAAAGCTCTCATTACCGAAGCCTAATACTCAACTTCATTCCTTCATAAGCCAAGATGGGAACTTGAAAAAGCCATCAGGTCTAAACGCGACCATTCGTGCATTTGTCCCCCATGTCTTGGAAAACCAGCAAACTGCTTTAAGACTTCGCCTATTCTTCGTCCTGCTTCTCCAGTCCGCAATGATAGTATGTCTTATGTTGTTCTTCACCTTTTCAATGATATCCTTCTGTGACAGGTGACAGTCATGAAATACCTGATCATTCCGATCTCTCCACAATGCTCCGAAGATGATTCCTCTAATGACTTGCGCCACATACCCCCACCCTAAGTTAGCACTGACGTTGGCTGGGAGTATGCCAGATAGCACCCATTTCTCGTCCCGGGGAAAATGTCCTTGGTGATTTCCTTCCAGTGCTTCTCCCACCATTTCCATACTCTGACCGATAGAGGACAGGAGAACCAGAGGTGGTTTGTGGACTCCCATGCCCAATTACACCGCATACATGTGGTATAGATATCCATCCCTTTAGCACTCAGCCAAACTGCTGATGCTGTTACCAGCAGGGATTGCAATAGAAGAATGCTTGCCTGTTTTTGAGACGGCAGTCCCTTGAGCTGTCGCCAGTGTGCAAGTAGCTTTTTTTTTTTTTTTTTTTTTTTTTTTTTTTTTTTTTTTTTTTTTTTTTTTTAAGTAGCTCTTTTTCCCTTATTGTACCCAGTTGTTTTTCTTCCCGTCGTCTGATCACAATATCCACTGGTTTCTGCTTGTTTTTCTGTTGCTGTAGTGCTACCCCTCTTTTAGACGAATAATCGTTCAGGCTAGCCAGTTTCTGAGTTCTAGAGTCCAGCCAACCTATAAGTCCGGGGTGTACAGTTATCTCTGCTACTGTTTTACCCCCTGCCAGCAACTTGACTGGTGGTCGTAACGGACATACTGTGTCACTGGCCTGGTGCGAGCCTCTGTTTCCCTCTGCGTGCTGGCTAGTCTCAGCCACTATAACCTGACCCAGACCTATAGTAGAGCCCACCCATAGTGTTTCTTTAAAACACAACAATGTTCTGGTGTAGGGAGTTGTGACCGAAGCTGTCCAAACTTCTACCTTGCAGCTATGATCACTCAGCTGCTCCACCACTTTCCAATACGTAGGAGTACCGCTACTACTTACACTTTTCGACCAGGTATCAGTATTTCGGTGAGAACGCAAAATGTCCATCCAAGCGTGAGGTACTGAGTTTTGAATGTCAGCCAGTCGTTCCTCCACTGATCTCAACCATCACAACTGATTTCTCACTGAAGCTACACTGCGCCATTCCCATGACTCCTTGTCCCACAAATCTCCCAGTTTAACCACTCCTCTTTGTATCCAAGCTCTTCCAAAATTCCCCGGGCTCTCATTGGCAGAAAAGGGAGATCCGTCTGGGCCACACAACAGGGGATTCTCAAAATTGGCTGCATCGCCACCTCCCCCCAAGAGGTTGGATGAACTCCATAGTCAGGTAGAACTTTGGACCATGCGCACAAGATTCCTCTCCAAAAAATAGACTTTGGAGAGTAACGTCTCACTCCACGTACTCTAGACTGAAACGCACGGCAACATCCTTCCTTTGAGAGCTGTCAGAAAGCGCTTCTCTCTCGAAGGGCACTCTCTATTTGTATACAGTTCACAGCCTGCAACGCTCAGGTTTTCTAGCGTCCTCCCTCCTACCCCCCCTCCGGCCTCTTCTTTTCGTGAGTGTGCCTGCTGCCCCGACCATCAGAAAGAGCTGGCGCTGTCATGTCATCCCGCAGAAGGGTTGTCATGTAGCCCTGAGAAATTCGTATTGTTCTTCAGTCTGGAGCAAGTGGAGCCATGCTTCTTTTTTAAAGCGCTGTAGAAGGGCTATTGCTGTAGAAGGGCTGTCATGTAGCCCTGAGATATTTGTGAGTGCTTGTATTGTTCTTGAGTCTGGAGTAAGTGGAGCCATGCTTCTTTTTTCAAGAGTTCTAGACCTCTGACAACTCTAGAAGCACTCACAATTTTTTTCGTGAGTCTAGTGTAGCCGAGCGAGACCCTTTGAAGTGGACTGGGGAATCAGACCCTCAGATGTTGGGCCTCGCTGCACGGCTCTCTAAATGTGCAAAATGAGAGTGAATCTTCCTCTAGAATATGGAAAGATACACGGCCATGATTTTTGTCTTTTGTGCATTTCAAGAGTAGTGCAGCGAGGCCCGTTGGCTGCGACGTACTGCATGGGCAAGGGGTACCGCCATACCCGCATATATTTTTTTTGTCTTTGTGCATGTGGTGACGACGTAGCGGAGCAAGGAGCAAATGGATTGTCAAAAAACGAAGAAGAAAAAAAAAAAAGGATTGTCAGGCATAAAGATGACTGATGTGGGGCTAGGTACCACTAGCAAAGGGACTCGGATAGAACGCCTGAATCTTGACGTGTCTGTGTGAAAGGATTCAGAAAATCGAGATGAAACTGCTTTTCTGCATCTCTCGTCAAAAGACGTCCAGATTCGGGAGCTTCATCCAATCCTCCTGGCTAGTGGGACCTCGCCCCTGCACCGTTGAGATTCAAGTGGGTTCAAGTGGAGGTTATCTCACGAGGAGAAAGAGAACTCGAAAAAAAAAAAAAAAAAAAAAAGAAAGAGAACTCGACACGTGGATTTGTCAAGCTTTTTTTTTTTTTTCTGAAGGGAGTAGTGGAGCGGGCCCGAAAAGAGTTGGGGCATTGCTTGCCTTTTGCTATTCCTATCTTTCCTTCTGGTAACGCATGCTTTTTTTCTTTTCTTTTTTTTTTTTTTTTTTTGATGCTGCTAACAGATGCTTCTTACCGATACTCCCGACTCTTCATCTCCCCCCCCCGAAAAAAAACAAAAGGAGGACCAAAAAGTCGGCAAAAACCCGACGCGCACCGGACGGGTGAAGAAGGATCCTATCGAGGGTTGGTAATCATCATCAGCGCCATAGCAGATGACTCCCAAGCTCATTGCCATCCAAAACAAGGGTCAAAAACGTAACTTTGCTCTCCCTCTCTCTCTCTCTTTCTCTCTCTCTCTCTCTCTCTCTCTCTCTCTCTCTCTCTCTCTCTCTCTCTCTCTCTCNTCTCTCTCTCTCTCTCTCTCTCTCTCTCTCTCTCTCTCTCTCTCACACACACACACACACACACACACACACACACACACACACACACAGAGACAGAGCTATATTCTTCCGTCAGTTTCACCTTTCATTACCTACCTACCACTACTCCTAAGCCTATACAGGGGGCCCCTGCAAGCATAGTCTCTCTCTCTCTCTCTCTCTCTCTCTCTCTCTCTCTCTCTCTCTCTCTCGGACAGCTATATTCTTCCGTCAATTTCACCTTTCATTACCTACCGACCATATACTGCTAGCATAGCTACCCCTCTCTCTCTCTCTCTCTCTCTCTCTCTCTCTCTCTCTCCCTTTTTTTTTTTTTTTTTCCCTATGTTTTTTTTTTTTTTCTTTTGTTCGGAAAACGCAACGTGCGTCCGTAGATGGGCGATGGAAAGAGAAAAGGAAACGCAAAGAAGAGGGAAGAAAAGACGCGCGAGCGTCTCATCATCGGCTACGTTCCCTGGGAGGGAATCTCAGGGAGATACGAAGGCGACTTTTCGTCTAGAAAGACATACAGGAGCTGCAGCAGTAGCAAATGTGCCTCCACTACCTCAACGACCATCGCGAACCCCATCAAGGTGGCGGCCATAGCCACCATTGCCCCTCTTATCACCTCCGTACGCGATCACTACCACCAACGTAGCGGCCTTAGCTATCGTCTTCATTCCTCATGTCGAGATGTCTAGCATCATGCCTATCTTTGCGACAGTCGTCTCCTTGCTCGCTCTGCCCCATACACACACACAATCAAAGCCATAGCCACCATAGCCATCATAGCTACCATCGCCACCATAGTCAACACCGCCACCATCGCCACCATAGCCACCATCTTCTCGATTCTTTCTCGACCCTACGCAAGGCGTCAGCAACGTCAGTTGCACGAAGATTGCAAGAGCATCCATAGCCAATACTTAGCCTATCCTTACTATCCATAGCCAATCCATAGCCAAATCCATAGCCGAATCCATAGCCAAAACCCATAGCTGGTAGTCTCTGTGGTCCTGTCCCCGTGTTGACGGGGACAAAGAGGAGGAGGAGGAGGAGGAGGAGGAGGAGGAGGAGGAGAAGGTAGGGTGTCTAGCAAGGACAATTGCACGAGGTCTCCAGAGCATCCAGGTCGCCTCTGAGGTCCGTTCTCCCCGTTGAAAGGAACGAGTAGGACGTGGCGGTGGAGGAGGAGGAGGAGAAGGAGGAGGAGGAGGAGGAGAAGGAGGAGGAGGAGGAGGAGGAGATAGTTATAACTTTTGAAATAGCGTAAGAAGAAGCGAGAGGCCGTCCCTTTTCGGCCTTTTTGTTTTTGGTTTTGGATGTGAGAACTATGACAGAAACAGAGTGCTCGTCGATGATTGCCAAAGGGGTGGTGGAGATGGATGAGGAGGAATTCATAGCCATCCTCGGAAGGGCAGCTGCATGGAGATATACCCATGCACCCCATCCACCTCCACTACGTAAACCACCAGTAGCGCCTTCTTCTCCTGCGCATCGCCCACCTCTACCTCCACGTCATTCACCGCCCCGGTGGGCCAGGCCACCGCCATATCCACCGAGCCCGGCACCACCATCACCATCTCTATCACCTCTTCCTCCGCTTCCCCCCTCTTCTACCTCAGCTGCTCCTCCCCCTCCTCCTTCTCCCTTCTCCCCACCTTCTCCTCCACGTACTCCTTCGCCTGTTCCACTTCGACGCAATCAGCTGGCCACGTACCGGCCCAGCGAAATCCCCCCATGTGGAATCAGTCCGTGTGAAATCACCCCAAGTGAAATCACTCCTTGCGAAATCACCCCGCGCGAGACCGAGCCAGCGGACGCACAACTATCAATCACTGGCAACCACCTCGCCAACGCGAACCACGTGGCAAAGAATGTGAGCCACGTGGCAAATGCTAACCACGTGGCAAATGGTAACCACGTTGCAAATGGTAACCACGTGGCGTATGCGAGCCACGTGGCCAACGTGGACCAAGGACAGCAAACAGCGTTAGCTGGCGGATCTTTTCAAGCCTCTTATTGTCCAGTGCCATCAGCATCACCACCTTTAGCACAAGATGAAGGAATAGCAGCAGTGGTAGGGGGATTAGAAGTAGGCACAGGAGGAGGAGGAGGAGGGGAAGGAGTAGTAGGAGGAGGAGGGGCAGGGGTACCAGCATCGGCAAGCGAAGGGAAAAACATAACCTCGCTGGGAATGCTGTCAGAAGGAGCAGCTATGCCGTACAATGGACCGGCTGACACGTGGCAGAATGTTGAGCCATCGTTATCAATTGCGGATAAGCGGGAGCCACGTGGCGGGTCATGGAACCGGGACGGCGTGGAGGCAGAAATGACTTCTCAAGCAGGAGGAGATTTTGAAGCAGTAGAGAGACGGAAAGAAACGTTTGAAGCAGCAGCAGGAGGAGGAGGAGGAGGAGAAGGAGGAGGAGGAGGAGGAGAAGGAGGAGGAGGAGGAGGAGGAGGAGGAGGAGGAGCCGAAGGAGGATTAAAGAGAGTCGACCTAACGGACGTGATCAACGGAACACAGCCTCCTACAGGAGAGAGGGAGGGAGGAGGAAGATTAGGAGGAGGAAGATTAGGAGGAGGAAGATGGGGAGAAGGAGGAGAAGGAATAGAAGACGGAGATGGGGGAAGAGGAGAACGAATAGTAGGAGAAGGAGGGGGAGAAGGAGGGGGAGAAGGAAGAGAAGAAAGAGAAAATGGAGAGGGCGGAAGAAGAGGAGGGGGACAAGGAAGGGGAGAAAGCGGAGAAGGAATAGAAAGCGGAGAGGGAGGGAAAAGAGGAAGATTAGAAGTAGGAGGAGGAGAAGAAAGAGAAGGAGAAGAACATGGAAAGCGGGTAAGAAGAGGAGAAGACGAGGACGAAGACGCGCGAGCGGGCATCAGACAGTCGGATCTCTTGGATTCGATACGGCCACAGTCAGCAGAGGCAGACGGAGTGGCATTAGGAAGAAGTTGTGGAGCAACAAGAGCAATGGTCGGCGTGGAACGAGGAGGAGGAGGAGGAGGAGAGGGAGGTGGAGGAGGTGGAGGAGGTGGAGGAGGTGGAGGAGGAGAGGGAGGAGGAGGAGTGGCATGGAGAGGACAGACGAGTTGGATGGAGATTAACCAGCCGTCTGTCGAGAATGGAGAAAGACCAGGAGGAAGAGAAGACGAGCAAGAGGGCGAAGAGAGGAGGAGAGGGGGAGGAGAGGGAGGAGGAGGGAGAGGAGGAGAAGGAGTGGCGTTGAGAGTACAGACGAGTTTGATGGAGATTAACCAGCCGTCTGTCGAGAATGGAGAAAGACCAGGAGGAAGAGAACACGAGCAAGAGGGCGAAGAGAGGAGGA